ACAGGAGAGAAGTCTTCAGGGCTGGCAAACACATCACATCAGAGAACCAGAAGTCATGACCCTTGCCACTGCTCTGATAAGGAAGCTTCTGTCCCCCAGTCCCACATCCCTCTCCAGCAGCCATGAGGGAACAGACAGGATGCAGGAGCAATGAGAGAAAAAAGCATTCTTTACCACATTTCCCCTCAAGGGTCTCAGTCACCAACTGGGGTTGTCCTGAGGAGAGGGGAGACCTGGATGGTCATGTGACTCTAGTCACCTTTTAGAGGATGACATCCTAATCCCACAAAACTGTGGGCCTCTGGAACACACAGGCCAGTCCCTACCTTCCAAACCCCTATGCCTTGTCACAGGGGTTTACTCAAATGTATGGATCAAGACAGATGTTTGGGCTTCTGGAAGGGTAAGACAGGTGGGTCTCAGGTTGTTCCATACCAAAGGGCCTTTCAAAGGGTAATGTGGAGTGCTGAGGAAAAAGAGAGAGAGCAGATATATACTCGTCTCTTTGCAGGGCAGCACCTTGTTTATGGTTCCAAGACCAAAGACAGCTAATATCAGAGGTTAGAGTGTCTAATCTTTGTAGCTGCAGATGTAGTCAAGAGCAATAATGTTGTATCACAGGTAGGTAGCAGAATGGTTATTCTTCTGCCCATGGCAAGCTCTCCTCTGTAGCCTGCCCCCCCCCCATCCCATAAAATTTGTCACCATCAGCAAGGCAATGGCCCTTAAAGGAACGCCCTCATCATGCACGCACCTTCTACACAGAACTCCACCTCTTCCAGGTTCCGCAAAGTGATCCGCATAAGGCTGGAGTTGAGCATCAGTTCATTCTTGTGGGCTGGCCACAGGTAGGGTGGTGCTGGGTTCACAAAAAAAGATTCTAGTGTCCCCAGTAGACACCTGGTTGTCACAGATAAGGGGGTCTCCGAAGCCACCAATCACCACCTTGTTGCCACCATCCAGCAGACTCTCCTGAGCCACCACATCTTTGCCTTTCAAGTACCGCCACACTCGAACCTGAGTGAACATGTAGGTAAAAGTGTATTGGTCCAACAGGGTCAGGATGCCAGACTGGACACCTGGGCCCTTTCCCCTCTTCTGGTCTCACTTGCTCAAGCCAATGTCCATATATTGGACTCTAGCCTTGGGCAGAGATGTTCAAAATTCTCTGAGTCAGCCCTTCAGGAAAAGCTGCAGGGAAGTAGACACCTACTGTATGACACATACATAAGGCATACCACCTAAGCGTATTCCTACTCCAGGTCTAAACAGTCCAAGTTCAACTACAAGGGTCCATCTCTGTCAGGGTTTGTCTGGCATGCAGTGCCAATATTCTAGACCCCCCCCAGCTCACTACCATTCACAACCAGACACTTTGGATGAAGGGACTTAGGAGCAAGAACCCAGCTGGAATCCTCACACCCTGTGTGTGGGCTGACACCTCCCCCAGGAAGTAAAGCCCCACTTCTTTGCTCCCCAGTCTGCCCAAGTCTGTACAGCCAAGACAGCTCTGAACCACAAAGTCAAGTTGGGGCAATGCAAGTCAGCCCCACCCTCCACCTTCTCATTTGGGGCCCTGAGGGCACCCCCTCTGACAGACAAGGTTGGAGGGTGTAGCCTGCAGCACTCACAGGACAAGTCCAGGAGCCCAGACACTTTTTGGAAAGGAGTTCTAGAAAGGGGCCCCTAGGGTGCTCTAGGGGTTTAGGCTCCAGGAATGAAGGGAGCAAAAAGACAATGGGCAACTTGTCCACCTGTCTAGCTCCTGCTAGGCACCTCAGAACTGCAATATCTATGGACTTGAGGTACCTAATTTACCTGCTCCCCCCCCCCCCAGTAAACTATTGAGGGAGATAATCCAAACGGGGGAAGCTCACAGTTTTCACACCTCCCCCACCCCAGCCACACCCAGGAGCAGCGGGGAGGAAGTCGGGAAAATCCTGCAGGGACTTGGCAAAGTGCCTTGGCAGTGAGAGGAGGGGGCCCAGCCGGGGGATCCCATGAACACACGCTACTCTGAAAGTCACCATCCTTCCCATAGGAGCAGAACAATCCTATTTCTAGTGAAGTGGTTTGTGGAGCTAGGAGAACCAGCAACGGGTATTCTGAGGCTACCCACTATACCTATTCCAAGGTGCTTTCAAATCCAGATTTAGTTGAAGCAGAGTTGACTCTTCTACTGTATGGTTGGGGAGACCCAGTTCTTCCAGGAGAACGAAGCACCTGCCCTTGCTCCCTATGCACAGGAGACTCAGCCATAGCTCTCTGCCCATCTCTGTGCTCTTGCTCCACCGAAACACAATCACTGCAGTACCTTACGAAGGCTCCTCGTACTTGTGGATAAGACTACGCACCCCTTCCTCTCTGCGGACCACCCCTTCTTGCCCTGGAAGAGGCCTCATCACAGTCCGAGTTCGTCCTCACATCACACCTCCCCAAACCATATTCCTTTCCTTTGACGAGGGTGTACACTTGTTTGAAACAAGTGGGGCTTTGGACAAGGGTGGGGGGCAGCCACTACTGCAACTGGGCCCTGGGCACCATGAGAACAACCACATCGGCCCCGCAGTAACTTTCGACCGGAGCTGCAGAGTTTTCCGGGACCTGGTGCCCCACCCGCAGGCTTGGCGGTCGCTAAGGGAGCTCGAGCTGGGGCTACAGAAGCGTTCCGGTCTCGTTCCCACGGCTTGGGGCCGGGGTCCCAGCAGGGTGGCCAGCGCGCGAAGGGCGGGCCTCGGGGCTGGGAACCACGGGGAAATGGGCCCCCGGCTGGGATTCCAGAGGGCTGGGGTCTCGTGGGGTTTTGCCGGGGCCCACCTTGCACGAGTACGTGTGCTGCACCGGGTCCACGTTGAGGATCTCCTCCACCGTACCGGTGAGCACCACATTCGCCTCCTCCTCGCGCCGCTCCAGGGCGCGCTCCGGGCACGTCCCGCTGGCGCCGGGCAGGGTGCGCTCGGCCACCACCAAGAGCAGCAGCAGTGGTAGCAGAGGGGCAGGGCAACACAGCCGCAGGCTGGCCATGGCGCAGCCTAGAACGGCGGAAGGCAGCCGAGAGAGCGCGCGGGATGGACCGTTCAGGGGGCAGGACAGAACTGGACCGCAGCTAGGCGGAGGAGGTGGGAGGGCGGACGGCGTAGGGGCGGGCCAGGGGCGGGAACTGAGCAGCACCGCCCCTCCCCCTGGGAGCTCGGCCCGCCTCCGCTCCCTACGACCCGCGCGGGCAGCGAACAAAGCCCGGAGACTGCGGCGCCGAGCTGAGGCGGGGGCCTCGGCTGGGTGGGTGGCGGGCCACCTTGGGGGAGGGGAAGGTGGGGCGCCGGGAGCCCTTCCCCCGTCCGCCCAAACTGCCCTCCCACCAGGAAATGCAGCTGAAATCAGGTTAATGTATAATCTAGGGACGACGTGCCGAGACTTCCAAAGGACTCGCCGGGAGCTGCAGGGTTCTCTGGATAGGAGAGGCTACCGGAGCTGGACCTCTCTTTTCCCTTGTTTCGGCCCCACAACAGGATTGCTCACAGAGCTCCCGCGGCCCTAGAGGGTCCGCCATAGACTCTAAGGTAGACTAGCGGGGCTACGCCCCCTGCCGGTGGCCAGTCCGCGGTGACTGGTCTGAATTGCGCTCAGACCCGCCTACCAGCCCTCTGGCTTGGTAGGGCAGTGGATGCTCCTTATCGACCTACGTCTCGCTTCGGAACCTACCGTGGCCTCTCCTTCCCCTCCCCGTCTGTGGTCCGGCGCTTATCCAACTTCTCCTGGCTAGGTACAGGGAATAAATTGAGGCCCAGGAGAGCTAAGCTCCTCCGTATCTACAGAGGACTGCTCTGTCTTCGTTGTGCCTGGGGTAAAAAGTGTGGGTGGCAGAAGCTCTTCCTCCTGAAAAAGATACTACTACCAGGACCCTGCAGACTTCAGGGAAGGGGGTGGTCAGTGAAGGTGTGATAAGACATCTATACAGTGGACACCAACACCCTAGATCTAGGGTCACCTGACCCAGATGTGCACAAACACACCAACCAAAAGTGAGGGTTTCTGAGTCTCCATTCAAATTCTTTTTAAAAGTCTGAAAGTTGAGCCAGGCAGCAGTTGTCCATGCTTTTATTCCAGGCACTCAGGAGGCAGAGGCAGGTGGATCTACTGAGCTAGTTCCAGGACAGCCTCCAAAGCTACACAGAGTAACCCTGTCTCAAAAAATAAATTAATTAATTAACTAATTAAAGTCTGAAGGTTGAAATGTAAGGCCTCCGGGACCACAAAAGTACTTGTCCTGACTTGCTTGTGCCTTAGGCTGCCTCAAAGCCTGAGTAAGTAAATAGAGTAGGAAAAAACAAGAGAAGGAAATATCAGGCAGGAAGGGGATGAAGGCTTTCCAAATTGGCTGCCTCCTACCTGAGATAGGATTTCCTTTGTGGACAGGTGAGGCTCCAAACCCAGGTGCCCCCTTACCTGCCAATAATGCCCTCTTTATAGCCCTGAGGAGGTATACTTGCTAACCACTCACGTCCTAAATAGCAACTGGCTGATATGAGTAGTGAGGCCCTGCCCTACCGTTCTGTAGACCAGTGCTGGTGGGACTAGAAACACCCACAGAAGAATATATCACCCTCCTTCACAGCCCACCGAGGCAGGTCCAAGAACATTCCTTCACTATTTCTAAAGCATCTGGGGAGCAATTGGTCCCATTAGGAGCCTCATTCTATTACTGATAGGACCTACCTTGACCTGTCCCTGAACCAGATACAGAGATGAGGACCGCTTGTTGAGGGGCTAGCTGAGGCTCAGAACTGGGTCCCAGAAAAAGTGTCTTTCTATAGAAGTGAACTACCTAAAGGGTTTGGAAGGGGAATTCTCTGGCTAGGCTCTAACTGTGAAGTCCTTGTCCCTTAACTTGGCAACACAAGGCCTTGTCACAATGGATGGACTTGGGTTCTTTCACCTGACCTCAGCAGGAATGTAGAAGAGAAGGCAACAGATGGGCATTTCTGAAGGACAAGCAGAACTTCATTGTATCACCTTTTATTACCAACATTGTCTTTGGATAGAGGCCTCAGGCATAGCATACTCCCCTTCCCCCCTCCCCGGAGTCGCAAATTCATGAACACTGTGCACTGGGGCTTTAGGTCATACTCCCCCAGTGGCTGTTGGTTTTCCATGGGCCTTCCCTCAAAGCTCAGCCAGAATTGGTCTTCCTGTACGTGCTCCGCCTGGGACACCTGCCTCTTAAGCTCTGCTACGGTCTGTGTCAGCCGGACCTCATAGATGCTGCTGCGGCCCCTGTCATTCCGCACCAGGATGCTTAGAGGGTTGTTGCAATTCTGAACGATCAGCATGACTGTGCTGTCAGGGCCCAGACCCTGGCTGATGAGGGTAATGTTCTCTTGTAGCATCGTGCCACTTTCATGGACCAGGCGTTGCTGGAAAGCTGGCACACCAGTCTTGTGGAAAATTTGCCTCTTCAGTTCCAACAACGTTGTGGAGTTAGTCAGGGGCACCAGGAACTCATCACCCCCCAGCATCTTCACCTTTAGGTTCCAGGTCTGCAAGCATCACATGGGTTTAGCAGTGGTTCTCAACCTTCCTAATGCTGCTACCCTTTAATATAGTTCTTCATGTTGTAGTGACCCCAACCTTAAAAGTATTTTCATTGCTATTTCATAACTAATTTTGCTAGTTTTGAATCATAATGTAAATATCTGATATACAGGATATCTTATATGCAACCCCTGTGAAAGGGTCATTTGACCTCAATGGGGTCTTCACCCACAGGTTGAGAACCACACTGGTTTAAAGACTCCTTTGGCACTAGTACTGGGAGTTACTGATTACAGGACCAGTTCCCATAGCCCACCCCCATCCTCTCCTCCATCAGAGGGGACCATCCAAGTATGGGGATGATACAGAGGAGTCAGTTCTAAAGGGCCAAACTCCCACAACCATCACATTTCAGTTCACCCACCAAGATATCCTTCTGGGTTCAGCCCTAAGGGGTATAGGACTGGTAGCTGAGCAGACAAGGAACCTAAGTCCCTTCCTCGTAGTGATCTTTGAGCAACTATATTCTGTTTCCACACTGTGACTATTCTAACTCTGGAAGACCCTATCAAGGAATGGAGGAAAGTCAACTAGAATGGAACCCATCTGCTCCTGCCCCAAATAGGACTCACCATGGCTGTAGGCTTTAGCACTAGGTCCTCTGCAGGAACTGAAGAGTTTGCTTGTGGAAGCTTCTGGCTGCTCTCTCTCAAATCCAGAGAGATGTGAGAGAGGGCAGCTCTTTTAAGTGTATGAGCTGTGAGTATCAAGGGGCGGAGTCATCAAAAGTCAGAGCTGCCTTCTGTTTCGGTTTCCTTTTCCCAAGGCATACCTTAAATGAATGGGAAAACTAAAACTAAATGAAAAGAAACTGTAGCTGAGAAGAAACGGGACTGGCTCTTAGGGTCAAGATCACAACAAGACTTGTGTACTCTGAAACTCCCTAAATATCCAGTATTTCAGATCCTTTACAAGGCATGTAGAAGTCATAATAGGAAACTTATCTTTCATTTATCAGCTTGGAAATTAGTTATCTTGGAAAATGCCACAATAATTAATTCAGGATTAATGTACAAAGTAGTGACAATCAAAACTGCCCAAAGACAACAACTATTGGTTATTTGTTTAGGACAATAGTTATCAGAATGTGTTGAAGGGGGAGTTTATAGGAAGCATTTTGTTGTTGTTTTCAGGTTTCTCTATTTTGCCTTGGCTGTCCTGGAACTTTCTCTGTAGACCAGACTTTTTCCAACACCAAATGGCTTACTCTGTTATCTAGAAAAGCTCCTCAAAGTTCCCCAGACCCTTTCTGGGGCCAGAAGCCTCTCTCCTGCAGTTCCTAGAGTACCCCTTCCCTTTTTCACTGTGTTCCTTTCTAGAATACTCTGGGAGTGTCATTCTCTCTACCTGGCCTCTTGAAAGCTTCCTTCTCTCTGAAGAACCAATTGTGAAGACTTTGGAATCCACCAATAGAAGTGGCATTTTCTCTAACCCAACAAACTAGTCACTTATTTTCTGTGGCTTACTAAGACAGATTTAAAACAGAATTAGGACATTTAGCCCCCATTGTAGTCTCAGGGCACCACCATTGAATTGATACATGCAGAAAGCTGCCAGGCGTGGACAGGAGTATGGATACAGGTGAGGATAAAAGGAAAGCAAAAGCAAAAGCACTCTCTTGGAAGCCTGCCACGCTTCTGATCTTCCCAGCTTGTGTGTAAGTGCTTTCTCCTGTTAATAAAAATATTTGTTTCCCCATTGCATTGATTCTCTCAATAGGCCCTGTTTTTATATTTTTTAAAGTATTTATTTATTATGTATACATTTTGCTGCCTGCATGTGTCCCTGCAGGCCAGAAGAGGCAACAGATCTCATTACAGGTGGTTGTGAGTCACTGTGTGGTTCCTGGGAAATGAACTCAGGACCTCTGCAAGAGCAGTCAGTGCTCTTAACATATGAGCCATCTCTTCATCCCATGGCCCTGTTTACTTGTTCTCCTTTGAAAAAAAAGATTTTTAATTTGCCATATTGGGGGGAGGGTTGTTTTGAGATAGGGTTTCACCATGTAGCTCTGGTTGTTCTGGAACTCACTCTGTAGACCAGGCTGGTCTCAAACTCACAGAGATCTGCTTGGCACTGTCTCCTTCATGCTGGGATTAAAGGCATGTGCAACTATGCCCACCTTGTCCTCACATTTTTTGAGTTTTTTTGTTTGTTTTTTGTTGGTTTTTTTTTTTTGACCTAGTTAGCAGTGGGCTAATGCAGAATGTTATCATTAGCTCTGTGACATCATCCCATCTAGTTTGTATCACTACTGACATTTTTATCCTTACATTGCATAAAATTGTCCTTCCACTCGCCCTGCAGTATCAGCTGACATCACCTATCAGATAGCCTGACAGGAACCATCTGACCTCAGTGGCTGGTGTTAGTTCATCTTTCTACCAAAGTTTGTTCCTAGGCCTCCGTGTTTTAGGCTCCTTGTTGGATACTGCATTGCACATGAGCAAATGGTGTTCAACTGAGCAGACAAGGGGCAGACTTTAAACTGCTAGAGCCTTGGGTGGGACCGCGAGGAGACGCAATGGGTCCAGGCTTCGCAGACCTGAGAATTTGTTTTCTAGCCTTTGGAGAAATTTCCTTCTGGATTTCCTACGAGTTGCCCATGAACTACCTCCCATATCCACCGGTGCTTCCTCTTCGAAGGGAAGTAAGCCAGGAGCCTCCACCGGACTCACTTCCCTCCTCTAACTAGAGAACTCCTTTTGGTGCTCTGCCCTTGCCGTAGTGGACTTTGGCTTCGGATTCACCTTTGTCACTGATCAGGCAGGGGAGGGGTAGTGGGTGGAGAGGTGAGGGGTGGTTGGCTGCAGTAACAGCTAGAGAGGGCGGGCCACAGGCCGGGCCTGAAGCTGGCCCTCCCATTGGTTGAGAGTACTGTGGGAACTGAAGCCAAGAAGGATTCACAGGCACCGCAGCTCCACTGCCTTTTTAAAGCTCTCAAAGCGTGGGCTCGAGGTTCAAGCTAGCCCGCCTTGTGCATTATGCCGGTGGACATTCCAGGGAAGTCGAGCGCTTCACCACTCGGAGGAGCTCTGATAAGCCCTAGCTGGACCCCAGACAAGTCGGACCACGCAGCCGAAAACCGTAAGATTAAGAAAGGGAGAATGAAACACCGGACTCAACCGTTGCTTATCTATTAGTCCTCCAAGTCGATCATGGAGAAATGGCGGTTAAGATCATCAACGCGAGCCTTGTTCTGCTCCAGACCATCATCCTGAACGCTCATGAGAAGGATGTGAGCCGGGCTGGGATGAAGCACTCGAAGGGTCTCCAGTTCTCACGGCTTACTATTGCCCTCAGATCCTAAGACTCAGAATGTAGGATACCTCTAGTTTGCCATCCATCCTGCGTTCCTGCCTCCAGAGCTCCCAGCTCACAAAACTAGAGGCAGCTGACATCCTGGAGATGACCTTGAGACATCTGCAGAACCTACATGGCCCAGTGATAGGTGGGGTGTGTGTGTGACATTGTGAGAGGTGTGTAGGATTGCCACGAAGGAAACGATTCCCACTTTCGGTGCTGCAGCAGCGGCTGTGCCTGAGATGCTGGCAAAGTACTGGGCTGTTTTCGAAGAATGCCTCTCCGAATTGTTTCCTGACTGGCTGTGAGGGTGTCCCAGCCAGTGAATGCCCCCACTTACTTGCCCACCTGGTGGCTTGCTTGCATCAGGTTGTGGCTGGATGAAGTGGCCCTGTCCTAGGGCTGCAGGCTTGACACCTAGACTGTACCAGAGAATATTTTCAGAGTTGTGTTGTGGTTTTGTTTTGTTTCATCTTGTGAATGGTGTGGTTCAGTAACACCCCTTCTTGGCTCCAGCAGCCCTGACTCAGTTCATTTCCCAGGCCCCAGTCACTGCAAGACTGCCCTTCATATAGCCTGAGCATATATGGATGTACCCCTGGTATTCCAGGGTTGACTTTCTTTGGCCAGTGGTAGAGTCTGCAACCCACACTCAGATATGATAGGTGCCCTAAGAAGGGCAGCTAGGAAGGTTTAAAAAAGTAATTTTTCCACTCTTCTCTAGGCCCTGGAAGGTCAAATGTGCTAAATTGTGCTGCACTTGGGGGAGGGTTGACCTCTTTTGTCTTGAAACCTCAATTTTGAGATACTAGCTTCTAGCCAGGTTAAGCTTCCCCTCCCCCAACTTAACTTCCCCTTCCTACAGGGATCCCTGTATGACAGGTTGTCAAGGACACCTCGTTCCTAGATTCAAGAGAGACTCTTGAAGTGTCAAGGACCTGCACACCCAGTGGAAGAGGACTGGAATTTCTCTCTGCGTTATCCTGTTTATTGGTATCTGGAGGCTGTTGAGGCTATTAGACACCAAGGCTAGAATGAGTTGTAAAGTCACCCTCACTTCACAAATTCACCATTCTACTGTTTGTGCCTCTTGTACCCTCAGAGTTGCTACTGGGTGCTATGATTTCCTTGTGTAAAGGGTTGGCCCCCATCACAAGTTCAGCTTGCAGAGTAACTTGTGAGTCATATGGAAGCTGCATTCAGGCCACCATGAAGTAAGGCAAGTAACTCTACCACAGGTCGATCCACCAGCTCTTCCAATAGGCTATCCCTAGATCTTCTTGCCCTGGACTGTACACACCTGGGAGAAATCTCTAAGTCTTTGCTGAACTTGTCACCCCTGCTTGCCCCACTATTTTCCATCTTCCTGAATTTCCAGAGGCTGAAGACAGTGATTATGAATAGTAGGAACCGTGTGGAATAGGTGTTATACTCTTCAGACCTGAGTGGAGGGGGACAGTGTTATTAAGGAACTAAGTGGAAAATCCTAGCAGTGAAGTCTGTATGGAAGATGGGGAACTGCTCAGTGTAGAAGGGTATAAAGGGAAGGGGGAGGTGAGGGCCTGCTTGGATCAAGGCCTCACCTTGTCAAGGAGTACTTTCTGTGTGGCCAGGGGGCACTAGGAGGTCATATTGGTCTTATTGGTCCCCTTCCAGAAGAAGAGAATTCTGGAAAGAACAGTAATTCTCCTAACCAGACCCTGGCATTCCTGCCTTACTTCCTATCCTCTGTAGTTTGTTCAGAATATCCTTACCAAGATCAGCTGATGCTGTGCATGGTTGTAACAGGCTTCCAGATCTTAGAACAATTGATGCCATGATGTAAGTACCATTCAGGCCATGAAACCCAGCATGTAGGCATTACCTGTCAAAAATGAAAACAAAGGCCTAACCTATCAAAGTCCATAGTTATGGGAAAGTCCCTAAATCTACTAACCTTGCCTTTTGGCTTCTGTAGTTCTGCTTCTGGCTAACTGAAGTATGTTAACCCAGGGTGTGGTTTTTGTGCTTAAAAACTTACTCTGAGAAAGATAGGGGCCAAGTGGTGGGGGTGGTTTGATTTTAATCCTATTTGGGAAGCAGAGACAGGCAAATCTCTGTGAGTTCAAGGTTATTCTGGTCTACAGAATGAGGTCAAAAAAGAAAAAGAAAAAGAAGGAAAGAAAGAAAGAAAGAAGGAAGGAATGAAAAAGAGAAAAGCTTGGGAGTTGGGAGTACAATGGGGTCCTGAACAACCAGTGTAGTTGCCAGCCAGCTAATAAAGACTTTGTATTGACTTGAACATGTGTTCTAGTAGTCCTCTCTGGTAGATACCTCACAGCAACAAAGGGATGAACCACTCCTTTGATCCCAGAAATTCTTTTTACAAAAAGCAGAACAGACCAGAGGCCTTCTGTGAATATCAATGACAGTGAATATAAACTGAAGCCATACCAGATCTTTCTGTCTTGAAAGACTCTGAGTAAGAAGCAGGGTGGCACATGCCTCTAATCCCAGTACCCTGGAGGCAAAGGCAAGCAAATCTCTGTGAGTTCAAGGCCAGCCTGGCTACAAAGTGAGTTTCAGGATTGTCAGAGCTGTTAAAGAGAAACCCTGTCTTGAAAAACAAACAAACCACCAACAAAACTGTCAGCTGAGTCATTCCTTGATAGTTCTCATTAGGAACTATGAGATCATAAGTGTTTTCCATTTCTAATGACTTAGCTTTTGTTATGTAGCAATGAAGATAATGTCTATATAATTCATTCAGAAAATGTAAAGAACAGAAGCTGTAAACATAATATAGTCCTTAAGGATGGATTACAGGCCTAAGATCACCCAGAGGTCATGGGGTACAAAAGAAGTTAGAGGGGTTGAATCTGGAAATAGGTTCTCTATCTGTGATAATTAGAGAATAAAGATGGAGGGGCCACTCAATGATAGAAGGATGAACACTCTCTGTGTATATAGTTACCACAGAGATGTCTGTGGCATCCAGACTGACTTTATACCCCGCTGGTGGTTCAGATGCTGCTGTTAGCTGAGGGCCTGATGTCTGAGAATGGAGGTGAGAAGGTGACAATTAGATGCTTAAAGTCTTATGCTTGGTCCTCATCACACCTTGCTAAGCACTCACAGGGGGAAATACACTCCCGAGTCAACAGGAAGCTTCCTATCCACCATTTGTAGAATTGGAAAATGGATGCACTGGTTTCATTGAAAGGAGTGTCATGCGGGGTGGCAGTGGCACATGTAAATCCCAGCCCTCAGGAGGCAGAAGTAGGTGGATCTCTGAGAGTTTGCAGCCAGCTTGGTTTACAAAGGTAGGTCCAGGAGAACCAGGGCTGTTACAAGAAGAAACCCTGTCTCAAAAAACAAAGAAACAAACAAAAAACCCAAAACAGCAACAACAAACAAAAATTAGCCCCCAAAATCCCCAAAACCAAACTAAACAAAACAACAAAAAAGAAATTTCAACTAGGTATGATGGTGCACACCTTTGATTTCAGCACTTGAGGCAGGAAGATCTCTTTGAGTTTGAGGCTAACCTGGTCTACATAGTGAGCTCCAGGATAGCCAGTACTATATAGAGAAGCCCTGTTTCAAAAACAAAACAAAAAACAAAAACATCAAAAAAAAAGTAGGAGGTTTAGCTGGGCATGTTGGAACACACCTTTAATTTTAGCATTTGGGAGATGGAGGCAAGTGGATCTTTGTTCCAGGCTAGCCTGAGTTACATAGTGAGATTGTATCTCAAAAACACTTCCTGCCTCTACCTCTCGAGTGCCAAGAAAGGTGTGTACCACAATGCTTGCACTTGATGACACATGTTTGTAATCCTAGTACACAGGAGGCTGATGCAGGAGGCACTCAGTTCTGAGGCTAGCTTTGGCTACATAGCAGACCTTGACTATAAATACATAAGTAAATAAATCTGCTTTCCACTAGATTTTTTTTGTTTGTTTTTTTGAAACAGGGTTTCTCTGTATTGTTTTGGAGGTTGGAGGTTGTCCTGGATTCCCTGTGTAGACCAGGCTGGCCTCAAACTCACAGAGATCTGCCTGCCTCTGCCTTCCGAGTACTGGGATTAAAGGCATGTGCCACCAATGCCCGGCTTCCAATAGATTAAAAAAAAAAAACTCTGTCTCAAACATTTTTTAAACATTTATTTATTATGTATACAGCATATGTCTGTATGCCCACAGGCCAGAAGAGGGCACCAAATCTCATTACAGATGTTTGTGAGCCACCATGTGGTTGCTGGGAATTGAACTCAGGACCTCTGGAAGAGCAGGCAGTGTTTTATCCTCTGAGCCATCTCTCCAGCCCTCCAATAGATTTTTTTTTTTTTTGGTTTTTCGAGACAGGGTTTCTCTGTGGCTTTGGAGGCTGTCCTGGAACTCACTTTGTAGACCAGGCTGGCCTGGAACTCACAGAGATCCACCTGCCTCTGCCTCCCAAGTGCTGGGATTAAAGGCGTGCACCACCAATGCCCGGCTTCCAATAGATATTTTTAAAAACGAAAAAATAAACTATAGACTTGGAAAAAAATTTGCAAGCTATATATATATATGATATATATATGGTATGTTAGGATCCACAGATCACCCCACAAAAGACCATCACTTACGTATGTAAAAGCAAGAGCATTTATTTCTCATGAGAAGGATTCCTGCATGCACACAATAAAATGGCAGTGATCCCCAGAGAAGCTCACAGGCTCCTTTATAGTCAGTCAGGAGGGGAATTAGGTCATCCTAAACATGATTAGTCAAGCGAGCAGCAGTCACACTAATATGTTTCTGATTGGCTGGAGCTGTAAATGCTGAATCATGCCTGGCATGCAGTATCTCCCTCACCTGTTTTATCAGAAATTGCAACTAAAACAGACACTAAGACCTAAACAGAAACTGCAACTTAACTGAAACTAAGGCCTAGTAGAAGTTGGAACCAGGAGTAGCCTACCATGGTACTAATGTAGCCTCTCAGGTGCTGTAGTTCAGGTCTGAAATGTATTCCGAAGTCTATTTTATGTGTATTGACTGTATCCCTCTGACTATGTCACTAGTGAAAGGCAGTGAAACCTCTAAGAGTGGCCAGTATTGTGTAACAGTTTCCTTCTAGGTTGAAGCATTCCTAATTGTTCATGGTAGCTCTTTGAACAGGAAGGTAAACAACTTAAAATAATTTCAGGAAGTCCTTGAAACTGACCAGATTTACAAGCCAGAGTAAGTTATCAAAGCTGAGTCTCCCTCAGAAGTAGCAGAACCAAGCTGCAAATAAGATACTCAGCAAGCCAAGTTGTAAAAGAAGTCTCTCAAACCAAACCAGTTGCCAAAAAGATCCAGACAAGCCAAGCTGCAATGACTCTGGAAGAGGTTTAGACCTCCTGAGGCACCTGGAAAGGACATTCTTCAACCTATTGAGCTGCTTGCTGGCTGTGCCAGTGTGTTCCAGGTTTATGAGCTGTCATTCATGCTGGGGGTCAGCTTAGGTGAACCATCCATATGAGCTGGCCCTCTCTTATCAAATAAGAATTAGGAAAATGCCTTATAGCTGCTTCTCATGAAGGTATTTTCTCAATCAAGTTTCCATCCTTTCAGATAACTCTAATTTGTGTATCAAGTTGACATAAGACCAGGCAGAACAATGGTATTATATACCTTTAATCTCAGCATTCAGAAGTCAGACGCAGGCAGATCTCTGAATTCACCAGCCTGAAGCCCTGTCTTTAGAAACTATAGATTTTGAGGCTGGACGGGGGCTGGAGAGATGGCTCAGAGGTTAAGAGCACTGACTGCTCTTCCAGAGGTCCTGAGTTCGATTCCCAGCAACCACATGATGGCTCACAACTATCTGTAATGAGATCTGGTGCCCTCTTCTGACCTGCAGGGATACATGTAGACACAACACTATATACATAATAAATAAAAATTTAAAAAAAGAAATGAATAAATAAGTCTTAAAAAAAAAAGAATTTGAGGCTGGAGAGATGGCTCAGTGGTTAAGAGCACTAACTACTCTTCCATAGAATCTGGGTCCAATTCCTGGCACCCACATGGCAGCTCACACTTGTCTATAACTCCATTTCCAAGGCTTCTGACACCGTGAAACAGACATACATGCAGGCAAAACACCAATGCACATAAAAAATAATAAAAGGAACTATAGAATTTCATTTACTTTTTTTTTTTTTTGAGATGGGGTCACTTTATAGCCCTTGCTGGCTTGGAAGTTGTTGTATAGATCAGAGAGGCCTCTGCCTGCCTTTGCCTTCTGAGTACTGGGCCACCACACCTGGTCCGTAATTTTTTTTTTTTTTTTTTTTTGGTTTTTCGAGACAGGGCTTCTCTGTGGTTTTGGAGGCTGTCCTGGAACTCACTTTGTAGACCAGGCTGGCCTCGAACTCACAGAGATCCGCCTGCCTCTGCCTCCCGAGTGCTGGGATTAAAGAAGTGCGCCACCAACACCTGGCTACCTGGCCCCTAATTTTTAAACATGATAAATGTAAACCAGGTGTGAGGATTCACATTTGCAATCTCAGAACTCAGGAGTCTGAGGCAGCAAGATTCCCTTGAGTTTGAGGTCATTGTGGTCCACAATGTGAGACCCTGCCTCAAAAAACAAATTTGAGAAATGAAATAGTGTGGATGAACCTAAAACAAACAAACAAACAAACAACAAAAAAAATCCTACTCTTTCACACTGTATATGTAGTACAATAAGGTAAAAACGACCAGTTATTCAATACTGATTTAGTGATTTACTTAAAGTTCCGCTTGTATCTCCTGTTTGCCAAGAATGACTTCACTTGCTACTTGGAACAGAATGACTTGAAGAAATAGCTGAAGCATTGGATTGTTGTCCTTAACAATTTGCTGTCAGTGTGCTTCTGTAAATCTTGCTTGTGGCTGGCCCTGTGGTGGCAATACATGCCTTTAACCCTAGCACTTGGGAGGCAGAGGCAGATGGATCTATGTGAGTTCGAGGCCAACCTGGTCTACAGAGTGAGCGCCAGGACAGGCTCCAAAACTATTCAGAGAAACCCTGTCCCCAAACCAAAACAAACAAACAAAAATTTTTGCTTGCTTGCTTGCTTTATATTGTGGGTTTACAGTATAAAATAGGAATGCAAACTGAATCTGATACCAGGCTTTCCAGGAGCTATCATGGCTTCCGTCTACTGGTGAATAATCTCTCTTCTTCTTTCATTGATGTCAGAGTGCTTATTCCAGAAAGATTGCCACAACATATGATTGCATTTATATAAACTTCTGGGCAAGGTGACCCACTTCATAGTGACAGAAAACTGGCAATGGTGCCTTGAGGGGAGGCAAGGAAAGAATCACCACGACATAAATTGGCTCTGGGTGACAGGCTATTGGCTCTCTGGAGATTGACATCCTTGCTGAATACCTGTATCAAAATCTAGCAGTGTATACTTTAAATATTTGCAGTTTATGCTGTGTTAAGCTCTGTAAGACTATTTTATTTAATTTATTATGTAATGTAATTTTTAAAAAACTTTTTTTTGAGACAAGGTCTCATTATGTAGCTTTGGTTGTCCTGAAATTGGCTATAGCAGACACAAATGGATCTCTGAGTTTAAGGCCATCCTGGTCTAAATTTCCAGGGCAGGCAATGCTACACAGAGAGACCCTGTCTGAAAACAACAAATGAAACAAAAACAACAACAAAAGCAGGGGCTGGAGAGATGACTCAGTGCTCTTCTTGGGGACCTGAGCAGAACTCATGTGGGCAGGCCTATAACTCCAGTTCCAAAGGAGCCAGTGACCTCTTTTGGCCTCTGTGTGAACATGCACATAAAAATAAATCTTTTTTTTTTAAAGTTGAAACCACATTTATGTATTTATTCATTTATCTCTTCAGGTGTGTGTGTGTGTGTGTGTGTGTGTGTGTGTGTGTGTGTGTGTGTAAGAAGACAACAACATGCAGGAAGGAGTTGATTCTTTCCTTTGACCATGTGGGTTCCAGGAATCAAACTCAGATTGTAAGCTTGGCAACAAGTATCTCTTGAGCCATATTGCTGGCCCAGCCCTTACTTTTGGAGCCTGTCTGTAGTCAGTGGTTTGAAAGGAGCTACATAGCTTCATAAAAAGCCTTTTAGAAGACTGAGAAACCCCTATCCTACTCTAGTCTGTCTTGGGAGAGTGGGAAATCCTGGGGACACCCAAATTATGAAGCTAGCTGGAACCCTTGGTCTGGCTAACAGTAGAATTTTGCTGCCCTCTCATGGCATTCAGGGGCATTTCAGGCAAAGCTTTGTCCTTTTCTGCCTGGTAGGGTGCCTTTTTATCCCTGACCAAAGACCCTGAAGGCCATCCTTCCTTTTGTCAACTCACCTGTTGTGCCTACTGAGCAGGATTTTGTCGCTATATATAACTACAGCCTCTACAAGATAGCTGTGTTATGAACACATCTTCCTGCCTAACATGAAATGAAGTACAGATTCTTTCCCTTGGACAAACATCTGTTCCCAACCTCTCACCAAGAAGATTCATAGTTACGTGAGAGTGGGAGAATGGGCTTTTTTCTTGAAGACTGATGCTGGTTGCTCTGCCCATTTCTTCTTGAGGTAGAGTGGCCACCCTGTCTTAGGACTATCCACCAAATACATTTTTTCCCTCCACTGACTGCACTTTGTTCCCTTGACCCTGGTCAATCCTTTTTTTTTTTTTTTTTTTTGAGGCCCAGGGTCCATGCTAATCTAAGGAGCCTTACACAAGAGCAATGAACTCACCCTCTTTCTTCTAATTGCAATGGCAGATTTAGCAACACCCAGGAGGCTCCCAAGAGCCTTGGATGTCAGATCTAGATTGGCAATGTTGTCTGCAAGGTTGGGTTAGAGACTTATAAGTGGTAGGTAGGATGGGACTGAAGTCTCACAATTAGCTGGAAGTACAGGTTTTCTTCTTCTTGGGAAGGGGGATCTGCATGGTGCTGATCATAGGGCAGTATTCTCTGATGTGACCTTAGCTGATGCCAGCTCCCAGTGCTGGCCCTACACCAGGAAAATGTCCTTCATATTGTTGGAGGTCCCTCAAATGCCATCTATTTGTGGCTTGGCTCTGAGACTGGCACGAGTCATAAGTGATCCCAGGGACAGGGTATTTTTGGCAGGAGGGGCGGAGCTTGCATTTAGAAGCCTAGCACCATGCAGCCCGGGGACAGACTTCTAGACGTATACCTCCACTGTCCAGCTGGCTGCTGAGAACCAGGTAGGATACGCTTAGCCCCTTGCTTCTGTCTAGGGGTACTAATGGCAGGAAAGCTTTACCATGGCCTCTCCAGAGGCTAGAGAGAGGAGAAGGACTGGTAGCTAGGAAGACCCCAGTAACTTTTCTCATTCAGGATTGTACCAGTCATAGTGACCATCTACTCTCCTCATTCTAGACATAGCAGGCCAAGGTCCCAAGAGGAGCCCTTTTAGGGGACAGTTGCTGGAGGCCTTGGCTAGCTCTGGTTATCTTGGTTCACTGAGATAGGGCAAAATGGGGCCTTGGATAGTTGGGCAGGACTAGATGGCCATACAGACCTTGAGGACAGCCAGAACAGATTTCTGGGACTCAGAGGGGCTCATGTAAGTTCTGTGACCTTTGGCCTGGGCTCCTCTTACAAAGTTTTGAACAGTCTCTGGTCAGTACCAACATGACCTTGGTAAGCTCAGAAAACCTGTTCCAGCCAAGGCTGGTGGAAGGTCATCATCCAGAAGGCTAGTCACCTATGGATACTATAGATCCTCTTCTATGGTTAGCTGCCAATAGTGATGACTGGAGAGGCTAGGGATGACTGTCAGAGGGAATTGACCTCTGATGGGTGGTCTTTGATTCAGACCACTATACATAGAGGTTTAAAAGGGAAGTCAATCTTATTGAAAGATCTCAGACATGTGAGGGAACACCATTCAAACATGACTAACCTGGTCTTTCATTTACTTCACTAATATATATATATATAATTATAATAATATATAATAAAATTATATTTCATTTTAGGACTGTGACAATGTGCCATGGTAAAGTTATTTGGAGTTAAATTGAAAATAGGAGGAACTGAAGTAGATTTCTAACTCAGAAGAATGAATTAGAAGAATCTGGAAGAAGCAGAGTCTGTCCTGTGGTTTCTCCAGATGGAAATGGACTGCCAGGGAGGGGGCAGGTGCTATGAGGTCAGGCAGGGTAATAGCAATGTGTACTACTTAGTGCATGGAGCCTGGATTTGTGAAGATCCTGCCTGGCCCAAAATCTTGCTGTCACTCCAGCACCTCTTCTGATGTGCAATGGACAACTTCCAGTATAGTGTCCAGCTCAGTGACCGAGAGTGGGCTGAGTTCGCAGCCACTGCTGATGAGTGTGGCCTCTTGCAGGCTGGCCTGGCCTCTGGTGACGAGCTCTTGTCCAGCGATATTGGAAGTGACATAGGAAGTGACAGTGGAAGCAGCCCCCCTCGGCCCCCACCCCTCTTCACTGGGCAGCTGGCTCCCCAGGGGAGGAGACAACAGGGCTGTGAGTTGGAGGACGTGACTGCTCAGCAGCTGGTCAGCAGGTCTCAGTGTGAGCCTGTCCTGGCTCTGGATGCCAGTCATCAGGTAGCCAGCACGTCCACACAGTCAGAAGCTCTACTGTTCCTCGGCTCAGACAGTGTCTGTCCTGGCCAGACCTTGTCCTTCCCGGGGTCAACAACTTTCAGGGACAAGATGCAGAGGCTTTTGCAGGGTCCTGCTCCCAGCTCTTCTGGTGAGGCCTCTCATAGCCCTGACCCTGGCCACAGTGCCATGCCTCAGAGTGCCCCTGACAACCTTGAAACTCCACTGCGGAACCCTGGTCGTAAGAAGAGGCGTGGTATGGGTTCCAAGGGGGGCAAGTGCTCTGGATCTCTAGGATCTGCTGCTGTTCAGATGAGCTCCCCACAGCTTATGGAGACCAGGCCCAAGGAGGTTCTTGTGTCTGGGACATTAATCTCGAAAGACCAGCAGGATAAACCACAGTCAGACTCCGCAGGTGCTTCTGAACATGGCTCTAGTATCCCTGGACAGATGGATAGACAAGAGCCTGCACAGTCAGACTCTGCAGGTGCTTCTGAACATGGCTCTAGTATCCCTGGACAGATGGACAGACAAGAGCCAGGCTTGGATCTGTCTACACCTGTTATAATAACTGAAGAAGATACAGAGCAGATCCGAAAGACACCCAGAGCTGTGCCACACATGATATCCAAACCTGTCCAGGAAGCTCATCCAGATGTCTCCATGGCCACACCAAATGTGTCTCTTTCTACACATGCGTCCATGCCTCAACCCTACATGGCTTTGTCTAAACCTGCCTCCAAGCCTCAATCTGACACAGATTTGTCTCCACATGTCTCCACATCTGATATGACTTTGTCCACACTTGCCTTCAAATGTCAACCTAATACAAATCAGTCTACACCTGCCTCTGACCATGACATGGATTTGTTTACACCTGCCTCCATGTCTCAACTGGATAAAGCTAAGTTTGCACCTGATCACATACCTGGACTGCATGAGGACCTATCTGCAGCAGGCTCAGAGATCAAGCCAGAAGTTTATCCCTCTATGCCTGCCTCAGTGGTTATGCTTTGTACAGATCTGCCTCACTCTGTTTCAAAGACTGAGTCTGAAGAGAGTGTATCTATACCTGCTATGCCTTCCTTATCCCCTGTTTCCCAGGCTGAAACTGCCATGGTGGATACAGACATGACTGTGCCTCTTGGAGGATACTTTGAGAAGCCAGTAGGACAGCTCTCAGCAGGGTCCTCAGGATACTCCTCAGGAGAGCCTTGCCCAGGTCCTGTCCAAGCCCCCAAGAAGAAGAAAGTACGATTCTCCATGGCTGTACCCAGCCATGAAGAATCAGGATCAGGAGAACCTACAAGCCCACCCTTCCTAACCCCAGACTGGCCCCCAGGTCCCAGGACAGCATCAGGGAGCCGTGGGGGATCTGCAGCCTGGGATGCTGTGGCTGTTGGGCCCCGACTCCCCCAGCCTCGGATCCTCAAGCACCTGCCTCCTCCTGTATCCTCTGTCTCAGCAGAACCTGAGCCTGGAAGCTGCTATGCAGTGACTCTCCCTGAAGCCTATGAGTTCTTCTTCTGTGACACCATTGAGGAAGAAGATGAAGATGTAGAGGATGAGGCAGCAGCCAGCCAAGCCCTGGATGAAGTCCAGTGGCCTGACACATGCGAGTTCTTTTTTCGGGACAGCAGAGTCCAAAGGTCAAGTAGTCAGAGGGGACACTCCCCAGTCCCATCCCCAAGAGCAGAGGCTGTGGCACCTGTTCCCCCTGGAGACTTAGTGCCTATCTCCATCCCTGAGGTCTATGAACACTTTTTTACTGAGGAAGGATTTGGGAACAGACAGCCACCAACCACCCATATCCAACCGCAGACCTCAGAACTCTTAGGGTCTGAGGCATACTCCAAGCCTGTTCCAGTTACAGCAGATCATCTTAGCTTGGCAATCAGAGAGGCAGGTAGGTGTTGATCAGGTCCTAGCCCCATCCAGGTCCTGGGAACATACTGTCTATGGAGTCAGGCCAAGAGGATATGGGGGAGGGGCAGGAATGATCCTGGTCATCTGTTTGTATGTTATGTGTTCTTGCATGCTCTGGGATCTACGTGAGGGAAGGGTAAGTTCCTAAGATACCCCAGGACACAGTCAAGATGGGGGCTGCTGAGGCCAGACACCAGGGTTTTGGCTTTGACACTGGCCACTGCCCTAAGTCCAGCCCTAGGTGCCATCAGGAACTTTCCTCCAGTTTCTAGGTACTAGGGGCACATTCCCACTCAGGCCAGGCTGATTGAGGCACTGTGGAAAAATATTTCCTCTCCCCTCTGGAAACTATTTCACAGACCAGAGAAGAGAAGACCCTAAAGGCAAATCACCCAAATTGTTCTGACTCAACTGTGATACATGTTATCCAGTGTCCTAAGGAAGAGAAGTCATGTGGAAGATCTGACTCAACACATTTGTCTAAGACAGATGGCATTTAATGTTAGGCATATCTCAGAGAGGAGCATCTAATGTACTTTTCTTTCTTAGGAGAGCTACGAAGTCCTTTTACTTCATTTACATTCAGTCAAAATGACATGTGCCTGGTGTTTGTTGCCTTTGCCACTTGGGCTGTGAGAACCTCTGACCTACATGCCCCAGATGCTTGGAAAACAGGTTTGGAGGTCCTGGGGATAGAGGGTGTTGTGCTTAGAAGATCTAGGGGCTATAGTTGTTTACTACATCTGCTGGGCCAGCAGGGGTGAAGGGTACACGGGAGGTTCAGGCTGTATTTGACCTTGCTTTTGTCATTGCTAACCTACTTCCAACATACTGTCATTTGAAGGCTGGGTTATGTAGGCAGACGGTAGTGAGAAGCCAGAGCTGGCATTCAGGATATCTTGTGTCTCTCTTACAGTCTTGCTGGCCAACATTGGCACCATCTCTGCTATCCGCTACTTCCGCCGTCAGGTTGGGAGAGGGCATAATGGCAGACCAAGACCCAGTTGCAACTCAAGTCCAAGTTGCTAGGAGCCAGGCTGGCCTGGTGAAGCATGGGACATGGGAATTAACCCAGGTGACAAGGACAAGATGTTGCTCTTCTCTCCATCCTTTAATCCCTGTCTTCTGAGGCATCTAGGAAGGAGCCAGTATCCTTGGTGCTGACTTACTTGGGCTCAACCTAAGGGTCCAGCCAGTGGCTAAGGCCAAGTTCATTTTCCATACCTCAGAGGGTTGAGATTCAGGATCTGGGTAATAGGGCTTCAGATTTGCAAGTAAAAACCACAGGGCACATAGCTGTATTTGAATTTACATGAAGTTCTTGAGATGTACTCGTATAAGAAAGTTTTTGTTGTTATCTGAAATCTAACTTAATTGGGCACCTTGCATTTTGTCTAGTCATAAATAAAGGACAAGCAGCAGAAGAGGACTCTACAATAAGTCTAGGCCAAGAGGCTACTAAGTGCCTTCATAGCTAGAGGGAGGCAGTGCAAGAATTTTGCCCTATTGAAAGGCAGACTTTGGCTGACAAAGGTCTCCAAGGCCCTGATCCCTGAGGCACCACAGCCACAAGTTTCCTAGGCCTGGCCTGAGTCTATGAATATGTTCTAGAATAGTGGTTCTCAACCTTCCTAATGTTGAAACCCTTTAATACAGTTCCTAATGTCATAGTGACCCCCAACCATCAAATTATTTTTATTGTGACTTCATAACTGTAATTTTGCTACTGTTATGAATCATAATATCAATATTTTTGGAGCTAGAGGTTTGCCAAGGGGGTTGCAACCCACAGCTTGAGAACCACTGTTCTAGGGGTGGCTTCTGAGGCCCCTGCAATATGGGATCTGTGGGGCAGGGTTGGATCTTTTCCAAGAGCCCTGGACAGGATATGCATAGAATTTGATAGCATCCTGTGGAAGGATTGTTTCCTGATACTATGGGGAGCATGAATGAAGCCAAGGCTAAGAGAAGTTGTAGAGTGGGAAGGTAGGTGAGGGGACTGAGGTGGCATAGTGAAGACAGTACACGAAGGTCCTTAGGATGGTGGGGTACTCTGGCTGTTCAGAGGGGAACACTGGGACACAGCACCAATAAAATATCTTTCTTGTTTATGGTGTTAGTCTTTCTGGTCAGCCTTATCCGATGCACCCAACAGTACTGGATCTTGTTATACTCCTTTGCTTCTTGTGATAGCTCTCATCCTATTGATCTCTGACCCTCATGTTCTCTGACTTCACATGCTGAATTTGACAACCTGGCTTTTTCAGTGCTCTGATTTCATACTCATGCTGTTCCCCACCTCTAAGTAAGGATCTGCTCTAGCACTTCCATTCTTTCTTCCCTAGAGGTATAACCCCTGGGGATATCCAGGATCTCACTGATTTCCCTCACTGGTTTGTTCCTAGGAAGAGTCACCTTCTCTTAGTTGCTCTAGCTGCTAAAGCCAAGGAACTAGAGCTTGGTGAGAGGTGCTTCTATTCTCAGAGTTCTAGAGATATCCTTAACCTGCAGGTTAGGACCTAGTGGATTTAATGTAGGTTAAAGGACTGGTATGGCTACATATTCTTATCCAGGTTGGTGCTAGCTGGTGGTGTTTCTGAGAAGCAGCCCACCTGGGGCCCATTAGATCCACTGGATGAGTCCCATCTCCGCTGGAGTTTTCCTAAGCTGTGGCCACTTCTGGTGGGAGGGAGAGGAAGTCTTGTTCCAGACAGAAGCCCCCTCATCTAGTAGAGATGTCAGAAACAAGTCAGGCATCAGCCTTTAGGAAGTAGCACCCCTTCCCTAAGGAGAGAAGACCCTTACTCACCTGGGAGAGGTGGCAGGGAACTGGGTGTACTTTCTCTGGTAGAGGTGACCTGGGAGGCCCAAAACACAAGTCTTAAAGCCAGCACAGATCAGCCCCCAGCTTCCTGTCTGTCTACACTGTCTCTGTGCCTGATTTCTCCCTGCCCCATATTCTGCTTTTCTCCTTGGAGTCCTAGAACCCTCTACCCAACAGCCCCTGATCCTGAGGCCTCCACATCCGAGTGGAGGATGTGACTTACAAGCTGAGGGAGGTCTGAAGGCTGTGGCTCCCTGTTCTTGATGGAACCCCGGTGTCTCTGGGAAGCTCTGGACTGCATGGCACCTTTCTTGGAGAGCAAGTGGGAGCCCAGAGGCCTAGGGGAGCTGGAGATTCCAGAGCTGGAGTCAGAGACAGGCACAGACACGGAGACTGAGGGGAACGGGCTTGATAGCTCAGGTCCAGGTGATGTCTGCATCGCACAGAGGAACTGCTGGGAAAATGTGTATTACCTGAAGCCCTGGTCTGGGACCACTATGAAGTCTAGGGATCCCTTGCCCAGAAACACTCTCCCTTCATAGTCACCAGGCTTCTGACATCTCCTGATCTCACTGTAGCATATCCACCTAGTAGAGCACTGACCTCATCTAGGCCTTGGAGGTCTGTAATCTTGCGGTGGGATGTAGCTGGTGGTGTGTAGGGATCAGCATAGAGCGGGGAGTGTGGAATATCCAAAGGGTGGTCCTGAGCCTCTGGACCATTGTCTAGGTCCTGTACACTCATCTACAGGAAGAAGGAGATATACATGTTCCCTCAGTTAGATGCAGCAAGAACCTCTGTTCTCAGAACATGTGGTCTCTGTGTGTTCCAACTAGACAAACAAGAAAGTAGAAGCAAAAGGGATAGTGGCCTGGGGTCATGGTATATGGTGGGCTCACCTTGGTTAGGTCCAGGTGCAGGGGCGGTGGGACAGCTGAGCCAGATACTTCCCTTCGAGATTTGCCCCTGGGAGACTGGCTACTGCCACTGTGCTTCAGCTCTATCTTCTTTCGGCCAGTGCTGGCACAGTTAGAGTTGGTCTGTTTCTGTGGACACCAAGAATCACCCAGAAAGATTTCTAGGGCTTTTTCCCCCCACACATTCTTCTATGAGGCTGTATGAAGGCTCCTTCAGTTCAAGTGCCCTTCCTGGCAAACTATGGTCCAAGGTCACTGTGGGACAGTGAGATCTAGGCTCCCCAGAAGACAGAAGTCTTGTGTTTTCTTACCCCCATCCCATGTCATTCCTTTAGGTACTTACAGGTGCAGGCTGGGAAGGGAAGCCTATGGTGGCTGGCACTGAGGATTCAGGGAGGGATTGGCTGGTGGGGAGCACTGGACACTCTAATTTCCAGCTGTTTCGTCCATTGGAAGATAGTGAACCTCGGCCTCTACCCACAACCTAAGCAGTAGAGGTAAAGGGAGTGGCTGGATCTGTCTACTTATCTGTCCCTGCTTGGACATACCCTTCTGGTCCCTAGTTTGTAACACCTGAGTTATAGGGACCTCACTGACCCCTCACCTGTGTGGGTCCATGTAGTCCTGGGAAATTCTCTGGGCCAGGCAGCAGGTGGGCCCCATCTCTATGAGAGACAGTCCGGAGGCACAGCAGCCATTGACTGTAATCCTCATAACTGGCACATACCACACGGATGGTGTTGATGAGGCGGCCTAGCACACAGACATGTGAGGTACATCCCTTACCCCACAGAGACCCCAGCAAAGAGTTGGAGCATCTACCATACTTAACCCTACTAGAAATCCAGTCAGAGAGTAGGTAGATTCTGGGTATGATCCTACCTTCAATGAGAAAGGAGCGAATCTCCTTTTCCTTCTCTTCTAGGTTGATATGGATGGCACTTAGTGGAAGCTCCCCCTGTAGAGTGGGGACTAGGTATTTACGTGTGTCATCTCAGTCTCTTCCTAGCCATATCCTCCCATCCTGCCCTTCAGAGCTGGGCTGGAAACTCAGGCCACCTAGCACTGAGGATGACACTCTGAGAAAGGCTAGGCAGCTTTGTTTGTTCTGGACATCTCCACATTACCTCCTGTTGGTTCTTCAGCCGATGCCAGTTGTAGACAGATACTTAGAGGGATCGGTCCCTGTCAGGGAAATCCCCTTGGTGTGTTTTTAAGTGACTGTGAGTACACACCAGTATCATTCTTTGGGTCCTTCCCCCACAAACACACACAAACAGGATGCATGGGAGGTGCTCAGAGACAAGGGGAAGCATGTACCAGGTATTCCAAGAAGTAGCCTGTTCCATTCCACCCACTCTAGGATTAGTGACATCCCTCTAGGATGAGAGGGATGTAGAGGGTGGAGACTCCTCCTCTGTGCCAGAGCAGAGACCAGATTGACCAGGGCAGTGGGGCCAGATGGGTGGAGCCCTGTGCTCTGTCCCAACAAGCCCTGAAATACAGGTTTCCGAGTCTTCACTCCCACCCCACAAAGGGCACCTTTAAGGGAAGGTATATATGAAGAGGGCCAACCTTAAAACTAAGTCCATCTGACTCCTCAGAGAAGATGGCCAGGGATGCTGGGTATAGTACCAGAATCCGGTCCCACTGCTCCTGTAAGGGGTCAAAGGATAGAGTCAGATTGGGTACCTAGAGTCCAGCCTTACCTGCTACTGTATCCTTCCCTATCTCATTGCACCTAATGTTTTTTCACACCTACCTGAGAGGGCAGATGCTGCAGCTTGACACGTGAGGCACAGATTGCACTACCCATGGAATCACACCTGGATGTTCTCCATAGCCGTGTCCAGGGGAGGTCATCCACCAGAGGACTCTGGGGAGGAGGAAGGAGTAGGTCAAAGGCAGATCAGAGAGAGAGTCTAGATTGGGGAAGGACTTACAGGTTCCTGCTACTGACCTGAGGGGGTGCTGAGTGGCAGCGTTGCAGACCCCCCAAGAGAGCCATTTGCTTCTCCAGGTGGTAAAGCCAGTGGCTGAGCTCAGCTTCACTATGGCAGAGAACAAGGAGCGGGGCAGGCAGTGGGCCTGGGGGCAGAAGAGTCAAGTGGGCTAGGGGCAAAGCTTAGAGCTCCCAGAAGCCCACAGGAAAGTCTCCTCTCCAAGGCTTCCAAGTAGACCTCCAAGGCCAGGTCCAGGGGTCCTGGTCCAGTAGTGGCCAGGTCAGCACTCTCCACACACCTGTAATCTGGAAGGCATGCTCTCTGGACCCATCAATCGTGCAGATGCTCAATTCTGTCAGTGGTAGCAGCCCCTGCCACAGGACAGTATAGGAGGGGCTGCAGGGATTCCTAAAGAACAGAGCTACTCCCTCCCCCTGTCTAAACCACTCACCTGGAATGTAAGTCCTTCAGAACCATGGGCTTGGAAGTACAGGTGGGAGGGGAATAGCTCTAGATAGCAGTCACTAATGTCCTAGGGGAGAGCAAGGCCACTAGTCTCAGAGGCTGGGAGGACAGTCCCAGGGTAACATAGATGTTGGTCCCCAAGCATTCCGCAACCTTTTGTGGCTCCTACCTGGCTGTGCTGGAATCGCAGCTGGACCTTGGAATAGTGCACAACCTTGCCCAGGTTCCTCACAGGTGTCCTCCGCCACCCCTTTTTGAATACACTCAGGAATGGCTGTTCCAGATTTTCTGGCTGATTTTCCATGCCCGGAATATCCTGGAGGAGCAGGGCTCAGGAGAGGGACCAGATGGGGGCAGATCCCCAGGTAATATACACACAGCTGCTGCATACAGTTCTGATCTGTCCATGCACGGTCACAGAATACATTCATCAAGAACATACACATACATGCATACCCCACACACACCTAAGCCTCTTCATATGAAAAGGTAATCACACAAATACCTATGACTCTTCACAGTCAGAGCTATCTGCTCTGTGGTACAGACTGAGGTTGGTACATAGTAGGTTCCGTTTTTTTTTTTTTTTTTTTTTTTTTTTGTTTTTTACCAGACAGGGTTTCTCTGTATTGTTTTCAAGGCTGTCGGTCCAGCCCAGCCTCGAACTCACAGAGATCCACCTGCCTCTGCCTCCCGAGTGCTGGGATTAAAGGCGTGCGCCACCACCGCCCGGCTAGGTTCAGTTCTTATCTTCATTGCTTCTTATTCTGGGTAACTTGACTTTGGTCATTCAACACTCCCAGATTTGTCTAAGAATTCTGGGGTATATTATGAGGATGAGATAATGCTCGTGTCCAGTGGCAACTGGCAATTTTTTAACCTGGTTCTAAGAAAAATAAACAAACTAGAGTTCTAGCTTGTAATATTTGCTAATTTCTTTGATGTAAATAATCCCAACATTGCCCAAATTGAGTCACCAACATGATGTCTGTGAACTTGGAATTGCAAAGAGATACTAGTCAGCTTTTGTGAGTCTATGCTAGTGTCCCAGCTTACCATGTACATAGGACCGATCTTATAGTAGAATATAAAGCACTGGCAATGGTCTGAGGAGTTCTTATGACTGGACTTGGGGCCAAGTCCTCTCCTTCCTTTTCCCACTCCATAAGGCACACGTGTGTCTCACCTTTCCATGTGTGTTTTTCTGCTGTAACCACTCAGCCTTAACTCCTCATTTCACCCCCTTCAAGGCTTTGCTCAGATTTTACCTTCCTTCTGGATGCCCTAAAATTTTAGTCTTTGATTTTCACTAGTACTGATTTAGTCTGACTTATTCAAAATTCTCGTTTGTTTTGACTTTGACATAGGAATGGAAGGTAAGAACAGGAGTCATGTTGTATTTTATTTACTGCTGATTCCACATAACCTAGGACATGACCTGGGATGTGCTGAGAGCCAGGGAGAGAGGTAGACTCAACATCTGCACCAACTTGCCGGTGTTGGTGGCACAAACCTTTAATCCTAGCACTCGGGAGGCAGAGGCAGGCAGATCTCTGTGAGTTTGAGGCCAGCCTGGTCTACAGAGCCAGTTCCAGGACAGCCTCCAAAACAATACAGAGAAACCCTGACTCGAAAAACCAAAAATAAATAAATAAAAAATAAAACATCTGCACCAACTCTTAGCCAGTCTTGGAAGATTCCTCTATATCATATTAGAGATCAGGTAGGTATGGGTAATGACAGCCTGGAGTAAGCTGTGAGCCACAGGCTTAGGAGAGGGGTTATGTTGCCTTTGGAAGCAGCCCAAGACCACCTGCATGGGCTGCTGTGCACTGGCCAAGTTGAGCTACCTCTAGTGCAGGTCTAGGAATGTGAACAGATAAAAACAGCTTCCATCCTCACTGGCTCTGGGCGGGGCTGCCTGCACCCACACCCACTGTGGAAACTGATTTGGATGACACTGAAAAATAGGCCATGAATAGGAAGGGCTATAAAGCTGGTCCTGGTGCCTAAACAGCCTTGAAGTTCTGTCCCCATGAGGGCTTAGCTTGGAGTTATGATAGGGCCAATTCTAGCTCAGGTGCAGAATCTACCTAGACTCCATAGCTCAGGTACAGTGCACAAGAGGACTAGTTCCATGCCTGCCTAGGGCCTCTCCCTCTTATCCCACTTCCTGAGGGTCATGTTTTGCCCTTTTCAGTTACTGTGTTCCATCAACTACCCAAGAGCTTAGGGACTCCCTCACAGAATTATGTCTTCGGCCTGACTAGAGGGAGTCAGGGTCTGAGATGTGGCCATAGGGAGGAATGACACCCTTGGTCACTTCAGGCCCCATCTTCCTCTCTATCTCTTTGAGGCAGCAAGGTTTCTGAAGATGACACCTGCCTGCAGAGACCCCTGGGACCTCAGAGACTAGGAGGGGCTGTGATACAATTTTCCTAGCTTCCTGGGAGCCAGTGAGAAGGGTATAATTTGGGAGTTTACATTAGCTGCAGCACCCAAGAATACAGGATGGGAGCCTTGACCCAGCCCTGGTAGAGGCTGCACATATAACAGAGCCTAGCCCACTGGGGTGGGTGTGGTTCTTCAAGAATAGCATAGTAGGAGGTGTTCCTGTCAGACCTGCAGCCCAGGCTCCTCCCAAGTATTGCCAGAGAGTTGGGAAAAGGGGAGGGGAAAGGTGTCTTTTCCCTCAGCTAGCCATTAGACCCACAGAATGGTTAGCCCTCTGATGTCTCATGACAGGTGTATAGATACTCTGAACTGGCTCTTTGCTGTATGGGGATGGGTGCCTGTCTATTTGGCAACATGGTAGCTGTGAGCTGCAGATAACTAGAAACAGCCAAGGGTGGGTAACACTTGGGGACTGAGTCCTGCATATGCTATTTACCAGGTGACCCCCCACACTGTTGTTGGGCCTACCAAGACTCAAATCAGGGTAGTGGAGGTTGAGGGTGGCCACTGTTCCCCTGGATGTGTGACAGATCGAGCAGGCTCTGCCTGCTCACCACTGACTCAGTGCTGGTCTTGGTTTCACTCTCAGCCTAGACTTTAGGGTGAGCTCCCCAGGGAGGGGCAGCATCAACTTCCTCATCTTGTTTTGTATTTGAATCCCTTCACGCTGCCCAGGGATGACCCTGAGTTGCTAGAAGATATGATGCCCACTTTATCACTCACACTTTGCCACACACAATCATACAGGAGAAGCACAAAATTGTACTCAGACTCCAGGCCCAGTGCCACAACGCTCCAGACAGACACGCCCCTCTGCTCACCGTCCCGGGGATGTAGTGGAAGATCTTGTTAGCCGCGGTGTCCCCATCAGGCCTAGCCTCGGTGCCGAACAGGCCGGCCAGCTTCCTGGCGCTGTCCTCTCTGGGAACAAGGGAAACCGGAGGCTCAAGGCCTGGCACAGGTAGCAGGTCCAGGGAGACCCTATTCCGTTGAGGCCAGGCCACACCCCTCACCTGTTTCCCTTAAGCGAGGACTTTCTGGAAAAGGAGGCCCGTAGCCTCCTGGGGGTCTGAGGGACGCAGTGGCTGTTCCCCATGGATGGCAGTTGCTAGCTTGGTCTGAGCAGGTCGACAGGTCTGGGTCCTCGGGGCAGTCTGCAAACACCTCCCGCCAGTGGGCGTGACCATACAGCGTCCTGCCCCTACCCTGGGGCTGGATGAGTCCTCTCTGGGCCCGGATTGGCCCCTTTCTGAGGGAAACCTTCCAGTGAGGGCCCAGGTGTTCTAAGCCCTTGGGGCCGAGCAGACATTTCTTGATTGGACCGGGATCCTAACCTCAGCAGTCTGTGTAGGCCTGGCCAGGAGAGTCTGGTCTGCATACATGCTGTCTACTTGTGTTCTGACTGGAAGTGTCTAGATGATGGAGTTCTATCAGCACAGGGTTTCTTCCTCCCAGTTGCCACTCCCCTGCCAGGGCACACACATCCTGTTTCCACATGAATCCCAGCTGGTCTGAGTCATTGGTGACTATAGGGCGAGTGTGCTCAGTCTCAGCTGCTCAAGAAGTGCAACACCATATAAAGGGAGGCCAGAACCTCCCCCAGGTTTTCTCCTGCCTAGGCCAATCCCCACCCAGACCCAAGTCAGGGTTCCCAAGGCTTAACCAAATGCCCTCCCAGGTTTCTAAGACAGTAATGAGAAAGTAGGTGGCTTATCTTTCTCATGCACCCCATGGTCCTAGAGCATAGAATCCTCTGGACCAGGATAACACCCCGTCTATGTTCGTCAATAGATAAACCAATCTCTGCTCCATTTGAATGCAAAAGTGCTGTTTTGCAGCCCCAGACATTAATGTAGCATGAGTCTGGTTGCAGTCCAGACGGGAACCAAAGGTGTGCTGTAGGCCTGCAAGCAGAGGGTACAAAGAGGGCCAGAGATGGACATTCAGCTTGAGGCCCATGGAGCCCAAGAAACACGTTTATTGTTCAAGTTGGCTCATATTGCTGTGTAGGATCTAAGTGCATGTTGTGTGCCCAGCTCCACTGAAGATCCAGAAAAGACACCACACTGTATACACAAGACATAGGAAAGAAGTCTGCTTCAGGGACAGTGCCTGGTAGAGACAGATAAGTGCTATGTGCAAAGCGCTGGCTAGGGGCTGCATCTTCTCAGAAAGCCTTTCGTCTTCTCTTGTGACAGTTGCTTTGCCCTCTACTGTTTACAAAGTCCAGCTGAGTTGTTCATCCTTCAGTGAGTATCCACCCCCAGAATTCCCTGCTGCTCCATGAAGGGAGCCAGGCAAGAGGGCACTCTGAAGGGCTCCTTGGTCCCCTACATGCAGGAGAGCTGACTCTTGACAGCAAATGTGTGAACTGGTAGCTGCAGCACTTTTCATCCATCAATAAATAGGTAGTTGATAAATAAGTGAGTAAACAAACAGTACACAAATAAATGAACAAGGACGAATGAATAACGAGATCAAGAGAGAAGAAACAGGAAATCCCTGGTGGGGTATGTGATCTGCCCTAAAATTTGGTGGAGGAGACAGAGGTGGAAGGGCCACCCCATAGGGTTTAAGGCATGTGGGAGGCTGCAGGGCCTCTGTGTAGTCTGACTTGTGTCAGAGGCTGGTAGAGGACACAGACAGCGTGGGTGAGGAAGGTGGTGGGAAGTTGAGTAGCTCCAGCACTGCCACACCCACACTGCTGCGTCTTGTGAACATGCAGGATGCTGCCACCCACTTGTTGGTCCTTGGGTTGTACTTCTCTATGGAGTTGAGGCTGGAGCTGCCATCATTGCCCCCCACAGCGTAGAGCCAGCCGTCCATGGCCACCAGGTCATGTGTGCTCCTGGGGGTTGGGTAGGCAAGAGTAAGCCCAAGGGGCAAGTCAAGAGACAAGCCAAATGAGTGGGGCACAGAAGGAGGAACCATAGGGACAGGGCTAGGAAAGGAGCCCCAGGTGCCCAGGAGGAACCCAAGGGCCTGCTGCACTGCTGAGGTGCTGTGTACACAACCCTTGGAGCAAGGCTCCTGGGGTAAACCAGATGTAGTGGCAGAACCACTCACCACCCACCCCTGGCCTTATACACCTGCGGATATTCATGGGTGCCACAGTCTCCCAGGCACCAGCTTTGGTGCTATATCTCTCCACTGAGTTGAGGCAGCTTGTGCCATCGTTGCCCCCTGCCACATACAGGGCACCCTCCAGCACTGCTACTCCTGCTGAGCTGCGCCGGCTCAGCATGGAGGCCACAGGCGTCCATGAATTCACCTGTTGAGACAAGGGGACAGGCTGAAGGCAGACCCAACAAAGCACCCAACCCCCCCCCCGACAACTTAGACTCTACCCTTGGCTGGGTATCTAAGGGTCAGGGGTGGGATACCGAAAGCAGACCCCTTGTTTGGCACAGGTGACCAGAAGATGGGATTATGCCCCACCCAGCATTTGAGAGGAGGAAATTGTGATAGGGGTGCGTTATGCACCTGGGGCTCATACTTCTCCACGGTAGCCAGGTGTGATGAGCTGTCATAACCACCCACGGCGTACAGGTTCCCATCTGTGGGAAGGCAATATACCCACGGAGCTCCTGCAGGGTGTAGGGGCTTTGGGGGTGGGTAGGAAGGGATTAGGCAGGAAAGCAGGTACCACAGGATGCAGGTCCTGTCACCCACCAAGTGTGGCCACACGCACATATCGTCTCCGGGTGCTCATGGCAGCAATGGATGTCCACGTTCCTGTCAGTGGGTCATATCGTTCAGCACTGTGGGCACCAGAATGATGCTGATGTTCAACTACAACAGTCAAGAGACCCTTTCCCAGGACTTGTGTCCCTGTCTTCCCCTGCCCTCTAGCCCAAGGCTGTGGTTGAAATCCTGTGCTGGTCATCACAGACTGAATAGATAGCAAAGTGTGGTGGGTGGGCACAGGCTACTGGCTGCTTGGACTGGAGGGTGGGACCCAGAGAAAAAGGGGCAGAATGGTACCAAAGCCCCATTGATGCTGTGGCCTGAGGTGAAGAGGCCTTGGGGACCTGGTAGTCTGGATTAGGCAGGACCTCATACTCTTGGCCAGATGTGACTTCACAGTGAAGCTAGCTTCATCTGCTGCTGATGAGGCAACCTTGCAAGGCCACTGGAGCCCTAACCCAAACTACTACCTGTTGAGGCAGGAAGCCCCATCATAGCCGCCGGCTGCATACAGAAGCCCATGCAGGGCAGCTACACCCAGGCAGCTTCGCCTTGTGCCCATGGACACCTCGGGCTGCCATGTATTCGTCACAGGGTCATAGGACTCCACCGTCGCCAGGTCTGAGGTTCCATCATAGCTAGGAGAAGAGTCCACTACTGATCAAGGATGGCCTGGCAGGTATGTGACAAACCCTTGACCTCTGTTCAGCTTCTGCACTTACCCTCCCACAGCATACAGTCGGTTCCCAATAGCAGCGACTCCTACACGGGCCCGACGTGTGGACATGGAGGCCACCACATGCCATCGGTCAGTTCTAGTGTCATACGCTTCACAGTCTCCATGGATGGCAAACAGGCTCCCACCACCTGGAAGGTGGGTGACAAAGGAAGTAAAGAAGCTCTGAAAGGCAAGGCAGGAGGGCTCTAGCGCAACCCAAGCACAAAGACATGAAGGCTCCAGGGGTGGGAAGAGATGGGGTCTGGGTCACACTGGTGTGCCCTATACAAAAAAGGTCTTTGAGATACACAGGTCATAAATATAATGGACTTTGTTGTATTCTGAGTTGGGGTAGATAGTCTGGGGCAAGAATGGGAAGGAGAAGGAGTTCAGCATACCAACAGCAAAGAGCACAGGACCAGCACCCTCACAGCGACGGGGTCTTGTGCGGCTAGTACCCAGAACACCCCTCTGCTCAGGCAGCAGGTGGAACTTAAGAGCCTCAATGAGCAGATCCTTGCAGTCAGGATGATGCCTCACAAGGCTTTCAGCATCGACATGGCCCAGTAGGAAGTCTCGGCTCAGCAGAGGCAGCCGTACACACTTCATCAGCTAGGGAAGGAGGTGCCAAGTAAGGCAAGACCCTAGGGCATACTTGTCCCAGCGCTAAGACCCCCTCAGGTGCCTATAGCACTTGTATGACTAGTTCTTGAGACAGGTGCCTATATCACCCAGAAGGAGTCCCTGAATAGAAGATGCTAAGGACTCCAATAAGTATGATTACACCTTAGCTATCTACATTCCCTCCTAGACACCATGGGAGCTCCAAGACCTGGCCTTACCCTTGGTACATGCTGCCTCCGAGTGTCTACATCATGTTTGACCCAGCTCAGCACTGCACGATAGACATCTTCCTCTGAGGGCACGTTCAGGCTATCACTAGAGACCAATTCCAGTACCTGGGGGTGAGAGGTCCTCAGACCTGACATCTGGGTAGGGGAGGGCCCAGAAAACCATGAAGGTGTCTGAGAGTATCAGACAGAGGGCATGTGCATGCACAAACATACACTAATGTTTTTAGAGCAAAGGACAAAGCAGAGTCAAGATTCACAGATTTTTGATTCCAGTGGTGGTGGTGATGGGTAGAGAGGGGAGGAGTGTCCTAGGTCCTGAGTAGTCTTAGGTACATAGAAGCAGAGACTGGGGAGTTGTGGTCCTGGAGTGTGGTAAAGACAGGAATCTAAAGCAAATGACTGGGTGGAGTCAGAAGGTGGGACAGGATTGGCAGCAGATGGGCAGGGAATGGATCATAGGGTGAAACTTGCACCAGGAACTTGAGAATGAAGATTGCAGAATACTGGCACTTAGGGGCTGGGTTGGGCAATGTAGGGTATGGGCTGGGCTCAAACTGGCATGTTACCTGCTTCAGTGGTTACCTGCTTCAGTGGCAACAGCATGAACTCCTCAGTCTTGGCCACATCCACGAAGTGCTGCAGCACGTACCTGTGTGCTGCCTTGAGGAGGTCACTGCATGAGTGTGTGTCTGCAAATCCTCGGATGCCCAGGCAGTTGGAAGGGTCAAGCTGGCTCAGGAGGAACTTGCAGCAGGCATCTCGGACACCATTCAACTGTAGAAGGCTGGCAGCTGGGAGTAGAGTCTGGGGCACCAAGATGGGTGAGGCAGAAGGGGCCCCGAGGAGCATAGAGTAACTGGCGATTGAGGAGAGGTACAGGGAGACCAGGCTACACAGATCTAGGGCTGGAGACCACAGAGGTACATGGGTGTGGGAATGGCATGCCTCACCTGTACATTGCCCTCGCCCACCACGATCTCAGCCGTGTATGCAAACTGCACCAGTTGGTCTAAGGCCTGCGGGTCAATGTCATGCAGCGTCACATGTGTCTGGCGGCTCTCACTCATCTCATCTGTGAGGACAGTGGGTCAGGTAGCCTGCCCTGAGATGTGCAGAGAGCCCCCTAGGGCTGCCCAGACTGAGGTATGTGGTACTTGCTTGTGAACATAGCGTGGAAGTAGGGGCTGCAGGAGGCCAACACCACCTTATGAGCACGGATCTCCTTGGCTGCCACATGCAGGACAATGTCACACAGGAGGCCACGCTGCCGCATACGGCTCATCGCCACAAAAGCATCGTGGTAGTGCCGCTTCGAGTTGTGTGCCACACTGTGACCCTCTCGGCTCAGCAATTGCATCGAACCTTCCATGGGGGCTGCAGGCCGGGCCTGCCTGGGCCGAGCTCGTTCTGCCTCAGTGCTGCAGGCCGCAGGGCTAGGTCAGTGTTTATACACTGTAGGGAGCCACTCACCCACCCTTGAGAACTCTGGGCACAGCCAAGGCAGCTGCAGCCTATTCCCAGCAGTCCAGTCATCAGGGACCAATAGCCCACCAAGGGCCAACCTGTCACTCACT